GGCTGTGTTATCTATTCTATGTGCGAATCGTTCTAAAATGAGGTGTGTTACTAATTTTATTTTCCAATGCCTGCATAATTAATCAACCATCTCTTCAAATCGTCGATTGTGTAACGTAAATCAACAGAGGAAAAAAATGAAAATGCAACCAGCTGTTCAAAAGTACTCCAGCGTTCAGTTTATAATCAAATGATTTAAGAGCGTTTTCAAGTGGTCAGCGTTCCAAATTATTGCAATGCTTTGAAGGTCATTCTACATCAAGTGTTGAATGCGGAAAAAATTTCGTTTTTACTTTACCCAGGCACAATAATAAACTCAAAAATTTTTATTCACCATCTGGTTCAATTCTGAAATTTTAACGTATGTTGTTTTATGACTATATTGGGTTAATTAAAAAAACTGTAGCGCTGTTTGATGAAAATACAGAATCAAAATTTTATGCTAACAAAAGATTTAACTTTTCATAATTAAGTGTGATAAAATTTAGTAAGGAATTTTAAGATATTTGAACTACTTTTAGGAAAGGATATCAAAATAAATAATTATACTTTTGAATTTATGTTGAAAGATTAAGTGAATGAAATAATATCGGAAAATTAGCATATTATACACAAATAGTATTTTTGAGTATTGCTATAGAAAATAATAAATGTTTTAGTGTAATAACGTATAAAAATATGAGTAATTTGAGAAAATAAAAAAAATTATCGTAAGTGGTATGGAATTTTACTAATATTAAAATTTTTTGACGATTATAGGTTAAGATTATAGGTTTGAAAACTTTTATTTTTTCGTATATGATTATAATGGGTGTACTCCAACTGCGCTAATAAAAATCGCCCCCTCGTCCTGGTATAGTCCAACTGCGCCAATCAAAATTTCTTCCCCCCTTTGCCTACAGGGTTACAATTTTACTTTTCGAAGCCAATTGTAGCCAAGAGGAAAATAAAAATAAAGAAATACAATTACATATCACAATCACAAGAACAAGCATGAAATCTATTATAACAAATTATATTATTATTATAAATCTATTATAACAACACTACTATGCGTTTGAACACTGTCGTATAAATTGTAAATAAATTTAAATTATTATGCTAAGAAGTTTTTTCTAAAATTTATCTAGAAGAAAAGAATTAAGTAAACAGTACTGCAAATTAATATAATCAATCAGGTCCCTCAATAAATAAAAGCTTATTTTTTTTAACCAAAAATTAAAAATTGGGATGCAAAAGTTTGTGTAATATACTTGGAAATATCTGAACACATAATTAATTAGAAACGTGTAATTAAATTAATAACAAGCTAATTAACAGCAAAATTAAGCTTAATTTCATTCAATCTAAAACAAGCAATCGATCAGGAGCTCCGCATAGCTGAAGTTTTATTGCTATTTTACGTAGATTTGCGTATCAAATGAATATTTGCATTTGTGAAACAAATGAATAATGTACTGATAGTCAAGAGGAATTAAAATAACAATGATTAAAAATATGACTACTTGTCAGAAGGAATGCAAAGTTGCCATAGCTAGAGAAATTGAATGATTATAGAAAACACATAAAGTTAAGCGCTACAGTGTGAAAAGAAAATTCTGGAATAAACATGTTACGAAAATTAGATGGAGAAATAATCCTTAATTTTTTTATATCCAATATAAACTCTATGCTTTTGGAAAATGTTACATATAATTTGCACCGAGGTATCAATCACCGAAACCGAGTTAATTTCTTTCCTTTTTTATTTCTTTCTTTTTTTAGAGGGATTTGTAAAAAGATATGCTAAGGTAAAGGTGAAAATTTTTGCAATATATTTTTAAAGAATAAATTAAAAAAGTATTTTTACTTCATGAACTGAAAATTTTACGATACAGTTTTACACAGTAAATAAGTACAAAAAAAAGAAAGAGCTGGGGGATCACTGGGACTAGAAACTCGGGTCGAAACTACCAATGTTTAGTGACTTTTTTCCGCTTGATCATAAGACCTTTTGAAATTAGGCTAAATAACATATTAAAGAAAATAGAAGATACAGCACACATAAGAATAAAAATGGGCTGAATTAGAGATTTACATGTTTAATGAATGAGTTAAACTTACCTTGTATGCCATTATGAAATATTAGGAATGTAGCAAAAAAGCATGAGTGAAGAAGGCAATGGCAATTTAAATCATTGTAATCTAAATCTATAACATTATCAGTATCTGCTATTAATTTCAATACTGCTGAAAAAATTATAAATGCATTATATTATAAATCACATGATTTCGTTGCATTATAAATTACAACAGTTAGAAATATTATTATTATTAGTATGATTTACCAACCACCTTTGTTAATAAATTATTTCAAGTAATTAATAATACAAATAATTCAGCCTGATCAGCCTGAAACTAGGTTAGAAAATAAGCTACATGCTGAAGATTAAGCTTTGCCTAAGGTGTTAGAAACATCTTCTGTTAACTTAGAGGTGTGATGCAAGAATTTGTAAAAATTATCATTTAAAAATATAAATTGGCATAAATACAATCCAAAGTATATAAATTCTACATACATGAAAACTGAGTACAGTGTATACAAACATACATGAGTACAGTGTGCAACAATGTGTGAAAAAGAAATGGATTCAAAAGGGAACTGAAAATCCCAGGATATGAATATAAGTTTTTGTTGTTGTTGTTGTTTTGTTTTGCTTTTGTTAATTATGAAAATTCTGCTGACGCTCATAATTATCAATTTATTAATTAAATTTGTATTAGAAATTAAATGTATGCCAAAGTACATCAGGTGGGAAAACAGAATAAATATTTAAACGTTTCTAGTATTAAAATATGGAAATTTGTAAGAAAGTTAAATAAACTTAAAATAACCATAAATAAAAACAATAAATAGTTAAGTAACTTCAATGACTGAAAAATGGAAAGCTTAATACGGCAATATATTGCAATAATATTAGTGTGAATTTAGAACCACTTAAGAAATCCAATTTTTAGATTTAAGAAAGAGAATTGTTTAGAATTTAAATTAGAACTGTTTACCTAAAACGGTAAATTTGAAAGTTAAAACCATTCTGCTATCTAAGAAGATTTGTTAATACTTGTCTAGACAAGAAACTTATTTAAGGTGAGCTACAAATCCGGTATTTGATAGGTTAATTATGTATCAGTTTTGTGTATGTCATTAATCTATCAATTTTACTAGTTTATATATCAGCGACTAAAATCTACAACTTCGAAAGTTTTTAATTTTTACAGAGATCGTAAAAGATCTGGCTCACCATTCCTTTAAGCATCATAAAACTTTAAAATGAGTGTAAAAAAATTTTATTTTTACTTTAGCACACGCCAGACTTTAAATTAATATTTGTTTTGCATGTACAATTTTTACAATATTGATAATCGAAAATACAGGCTTGCAGCCTCAATAGAATGTCCCATGAATGATGATGAAGGACTTTTTGTAGCACACAATCTTCTTGGGGAAGAAATAGAGGACAGGAAACGTCGCGCAGTTCGTGGATTAGATAAGAGGGGAACGAGGATCTTCGTTCAAATGGCGCAGTTCGTACCCTACCAATTATAATTATTATTGCTTTTTATGTAATGGAGTGAGGTTAATTTTTTTTTATATAAATGGAATGTTATGGCGCAGTTCAAAAAGCCAGTTGAGTTTAAACATGGAACGAAGGCCTTTACAAGTAACTGCCTGTTAATCATTGGTGAGTATATACTAATTCGCTAATGTGGTTTTGCTCTTTAGATCAGTGTGTCTTAACCTTTTTGGCACAATGAACGACTTTAAAAATTTTAAATATATCACGGACCCCTCTGTGAAAAAAAATTGCTTAAACAACATTTATTACAAAATATATTCTGTTTTATTATTTAATTATTTTAATATTTTTATTTCAATAGTATAAAAAATTTGAAGAAATTAAAATTTTTAATGTGAAGGCTGTTGCTGCTTTTTTCCTTGATTAACAGATTGAATTGAGGGATGGTTTTCGACAAAGCAACGCGCATATCATGTTCGACATTCAGTCTATTTCGATGTTTTTTTTTTTATTGTGACAAGTGTGGAAAATCCCGCTTCGCAAAGATATACTGTAGCAAACGGAATAATGGCTGCCATAGCTCGTTTTACAAGCAATGGGTAGGCTTCTCTTAAAGAAGACCAAAACTCTCCAAGAGTTTTTGAATCGAAATCCATTTTTAACAAGGACTTTGTTTTCAAATCAATTAGCTCATCTTTGGCAAGGTTCATGTCATCGATACAGTCAATATCACAAAGAAAAGGATTACGAATCCACAACTCATCTTTTATATTTATTCCATCCGAATTGAAATATTTTTCAAATGAAACTTGAAGTACTTCCAGGTGTTCACAGATTTCATTTTTCAAGTTATTCAATAACAAACTATCTTTCCGAGATCCATTTTCAAAAAGCACTTCGTCCAACATTTGAAAGTTTGCATATATCCCATTTTGAATTCTAATTTTCCAAAGTGACATTTTCAATAAAAAATGCCTGTAGTTTCTCAGTGGCATCCATAATTGTTGTATCAGGCCCTTGAATTGAAAGACATATATCGTTCATGTGGTTAAAAATGTCTGCCAGGTAAGCCAATTTACATATAAAATCTTTTTTCTTTCTTGAAATATTCGAAGAGTGAGTTATCGTTTTTCTTCTAAAAAAAGTGATACTTCTGTCTTCAACATGAAAATTCGTTTCAAAACCTGCCCTCGTGACAGCCAGCGCACTTCCGTGTGGTACAGAAGTACCTCATGTTCTGCGTTCATTTCTTGACACAGTGTTTTAAAAAGACGATGATTAAGAGCTCTACTTCTAATAAAATTCACAGTTTTAATAACTATTGACAATACTTCTTTTAAGCTGGTTGGAAGAGTTTTTGTAGCCAGTGCATGTCTATGTAAAAAACAATGTGTAACAATAACTTTAGGAGCCTCTTTTTTTACCAAAATGGGCAAAACCAGATTTATTGCCAAGCATCGCAGGTGCTACATCCGTACAAAGTGAATGAAGTTTTTTTTTTCCAGTCAAAGTCGTGTTTGGAAAAGAAGACATTTAAAATCGTTAAAACATCAACTGCCTTTGTAGTTTGCAAAAGAGGCTCACAAAATAAGAATTCTTCTTTGATAGTATCAGCAGACACGTAACGAACAAAAACAAGAAGTTGACTACAATTCGAGATGTCTGTAGTTTCATCCAGTTGCATACTAAAGGGAAATGGCGATGCTTTCAATTCATCGATGATCTGTTTCAAGATATTGCAAGAAATTTCAACTATTCTTGAATGTATCACATCCTTGGACAATGGAATAGCCTCAAGTTTTTTTCTCTGTTCCAGTCCACAAACTAATTCAACCATTTCCAGCGCACATGGCTTAATTAATGTCTCTCCAATAGTATGGTGCGGTTTCTTACTTTTGGCAATACGATATGCAACTCTGAAAGATGCCTCAACCAAAGGTTTTTGTGAAATACCAAATCCAAGTTTGGTTAATGTTCCAGATTTCGAAAACTGGGCTTTCTTCTTCGTAAAAAATTCTAGATCTTTAGATGCATTTTCGGATGAAGAGATTTGAGATGCTCTATCAATTTTGCCGGTTTCATACTGGCGTTTGCCAAAACTTTTCCACACAGAAAGCATTGTGGCTTTTATTCAACACCGGCCAATTCCTTCATGCAGCAGAATCCATATTTTCATCATACTTTCTTTTTTTGGACATTTTGGGCTACAAAAAGAATCAAATAATCAAATTAAGAACAAACATTAAAACACAAAAAAACACTTGAAAAACAAATAATTACAACTTATGAAAAAGTAAAACAAATATTTTGTTTTAAAAATTTGCAAGAACTTTGCGGAACTGATTTTAACGTCACTTTATTTCCAAGTGAAGTAAAATTCAAAGGCTACTTTGTGTTTCTAAAAATTTCAAATTTTATATGGTTTGCGAATGTTCTTTTCCTCGTATTGTGGAGGTCTCTATTATTGGGAAATGGCAGACAGACGGCTTACAGAGGTTGCCCGTGACAAAAAAAAAGTTTTTTTTTTAAATATTGATGCAAACATTTTAAAAATTAGGAGCAGTCGGCGGACCCCCAAAATATGACCCATGGACCCCCAAGGGGTCCATGAACCACAGGTTAAGAAACACTGCTTAGATGGAATTTTGTATTAAGAGAAAGCGTGCTTTCATTTGTGAAAATGTAATTGAATGTCGATAATAATAAAGCAATTGTTAGTATTTATTTCAAAGAAAAATTATACATTTAATTTCGAATTTTTGCGATTTGTAAATAATTATGAGTTTTAATATTTTATATTGAAAAATCTATACCTTCCCTAAACAGATTAGTTATGAATTTATTATTTTTATTTTATAGTCACAAAATTATATATAAATTATATATTATTATTGTAAGGCAATGTAGAATTTTATTTATAAGATTTAAAAGACCTAACTTGAGTAAAAAGTTATATGTCTTAAATTTTAAGTTTTGTGTATTTTTTTATATCAGTTAACTAATTAGAAGATTTTATGACCGTAAGTTATAAATGCAAACTTTGATAATTAAATACTAAAAGCCCAATAACTTTTTTGAGGAACGGAGATTTTTAGGTTCTGTTGTATTTAAGTTTTCATAGCCATCAGCAAATCGTAACGCTGAACCGCTTTGTGAGGACAAGTTGTTATGTTAATTTACTGTATTTTATTAGTTTTCTGTTATTAATTTTTGAAGTACATTTTATATTGCATTAATGTTAACAAAATATGGATTGTTTCAGAAGTGTTAAATAATTAATTTTTTTCACAAATTTCATGAATATTTAAAAGAAACTTTTGGTTCAATATTGACAAAAGCAATTTTTACGAACGTCTTTTAAGACAAGCACTGTAAAATATTATAATTATGATATTCAAGCAAAGATTTTACAAAACTGTGAACTTTACAGTTATTTCTTGAAAACATTATGGCATCCCTTATAGTATTTTTACCGAGAAATGAACTTGCAGACTTTCAAAATTTCAACAGAGTTTTCAATTTGCATTTATTGTTAGGAATGATAGCTACAATATTTTGTTCGGAACAAAGCTGATTTGTAATGGATCAAAGTACTAAATTAAGATATGTTTCTTCAGTGTATTAAAAAAGAAAATACATTATAACAGAATGCATGATAATATTCCCAAGTTATAATAGTATAAATTATATACATTACGCCAATGGCATGGGCGTTTGTAAATGTATAGTGTCCTTGCGGCATGGGGACATTCTAAATATGTGGCCAGTCGAAAGTCCTCTCGAGATTTTGGTGGTAGGGGAAGAGGGGTGGGAAACTCTCGGACCCGTCTCCCGGGGTGCTCTCCATCAAAATTGGGGGCGGAATTGAGCTAAATCGCACTGCCACCTATATGGTGCTCAAAGCTGATGTCAAAACGTAAGCGACAGGCGTAATCTTACGTTCCTTGCCAATTCGTGGCTCTTTGCCAATTACGCTCCTTGTCAAATTCGCGGGATTGGGCCGATTATACGTCAGGCAAGTGAGCATTAGTCAACAACAACATATACCTTACAGCAGAATATATTGCATCAGATTTCATTACAGTGTTCATGCATCAGAATACAAAAGTTTGCACATTGCGACGGAAAAACATTAAAATTTACATTACAATTAACTATGGAAATAATAGAAGATAAGTGCACTCTAGTGTCGTTATGCTACTTCGAAACTTACAAGTTTTGTAGTCACAATAGTGAAGGAAAGACGAATTAATGCCTGTATACAGCTGTCATGCTATAAAGGTAGAAATGCAAAAAGAAATTAATGACTAAATATACCGCTACAGTTATCTTACAGTAATAAAGGGAATACAAATGTTGATGCATAAACATGTATTTAGAAAGAGAATACAACATAGTCTCGCACCCTGGAAATAATTTTTTTTTTCCGTACAGTGTTGCCATTGCTCGCTTTGAAATCGTTGAGTTTGTTAATCAAAAATTCGTTTTAAAGTGTTACAAAATATGAAAATTATAATAAAACTATCTCCAAATTAGGGCTTTCAGATGCTTATATTCGGGGGAAGATCACGTTATTCAAAATTGGATGGCTCTAGGTACCGTTATTTTATCAGAGTACGTGAAACATACATATATTTATGAAGATTCTTCATTATTTAATTTCGTTAAATATCACACAGGGCGGTAAATTTTAGTGGCAACAGTTTGAAAAGTGATTCGCCATTCATAGTGAATCGATGCAAAATGCCGATAGCACTTTGGGATAAAAAATACCCTGCAAATATAAGCAATACATCATATGCATAAATAAAAAAATTTCAAACCGGGTTAACACTCTTAAAAATCATAAACAATCAGGCAAGTTTAAATTTCTAATAATAATTTTCAGTTTCAGCGAATCGAGTCCAAAAATATTTACAGCATTGAATAAACGAAAAATTTTTAAAATAAAAATAATAATAAATTAAAAAGAGTAGTATTTAAAATCTGTAACATTAGAGCAACAAACATTGGAAATGAAAAAAAATTATATAATAGAGCAATAAAAGTGTAGAAATTTTCTAATTAGAAAAAACATTCATTCAAACATTAAATTGGTGCTGGAAAAAATATATATATATCTATATATATAAGGCAAAACATTGAATTACCTGGATTATAAACCCAGAAGGAATTATACTTTTCGGATTTGTTTCAAGATTCCTTAAGGTACTAAAAATTTATTTGTGCTCAGAATATAAAAAAATTTTTTTGAGAGAGGAACGAGGAATGCTGACTAGATTTAGTGTCTGACTCTTTTATTTAACAGTTTTACGTCATTTACTCATAGCACAAGCATGTATTAGTCACTTGGCTACAAACATACGTTTGGAACTTCAGAATTTTTAAAATTTTATTTATATTTTGATTAATAAGATAACTAATAAAACATTTCAACTTCAAAGCGCGCGTCACTGCAGCTGAACGATAATATATCAAGACAGAAGTGAAACACTCCTCAAATAAATCATAAAGTGAAGCAACAACCTGTGTTAGGATTTTTTAGCATAGGAACTCTATCGATTTCGAGGGAGAACAAAGTCCCTCTTCATCAGAAGCCCAAAAAAAAAAAAAAAAAAAAAAAAAAAAAAAAAAACTGCAACCGAAAAACCAAGTTACGAGAGAGTAGCGCCATCTGTTAGTAGAAACAAAAACGAACATTGAAAAATTAGGATGATAGAGATTTAAAAGCGTTAGGTAGGATTGAATTAAAATCATTTAATAAACATTGTCAATGTGAAAAGCTTCAAGAAAATTTAATTCTCCAGTGGAAGAAGCTTTCTGAATAATTTTTGCAGACCCAAAGTCGAAATTACGATTAAATTTCCAAAGATGATTAGCAGTTGAAGACTTGTAAAGTTCCCCTTTTCGGACATAAGATTCATGTTCCTTAATGCTCTTTTGGTTTGGCTGATTATATCTCGAACCACACTGACAAGGATATGCTATAGATTCCCCAAGAGCTGCAATCACAAATAGTATCTTTAAGAAATGAACCATGGATTTTTTTTTGATAGGAGAGAAAATGACTTCAAAATTGAACTTCTGGAGAATTCTAGGGGCGTTGGCCCAAATGTGGTATTATTCTCAAAGTGACATTTTGCGATGAATCACTTAAATACGATGTATCACTTTCCAAATTGTTGCCACGAAATATTATCACCTTCTATTACTTTAAAAAAATTAATTAGTGAACAATCTGCATAAATATATGCACGTTTCTTGCATTGTCAAAAAACGACGGTACCTAGAGCCATCAAATTTTTAATTAACGTAATCCTTCACCCGAACATTTGCACATGGAAGCCCGAATTTTGTAAAAGTTTAAGGAATTTTTAACAAATTCAATGACTTGAAAGTGAACAGTGGCAACACTGTACGGATTAGATTTTTGTGTCCAGGGCGCGAGACTGCATATCGGAAATTCTAAAGATATACTGTTTTTAATTATTTTTGGAGTTTGCTATTCAACTGAATTTTATGTGGCATAAGTTAGAAGAACATGATTTTTAATTAATAAATTTAACATACAAAATATTAGTAATAAAAAGACAAAAAGTTTTGCACGCTGTTTTACTAAGCAAATTATACATTAATAAGATAAACTGTGAAAAGGCTGGAAAAAATAGGAAAATATATGCCACCACTTAAAACTTCATCTGGAATTCTAAACACCTGCTGCTTTGAAAATTTTTACAATTTTGCTGTTGAATCGTATAAGACGTAAGTGGAAAGAAAATGGTGCTTAATAATAAAGCTAAAAAGACAAAAAGAAATAGGTTAGCATGAGTGAGTGCATCAGGAGACTGGTAGACTGCGAGCTCAGCGAGAGCGCAGAAAAACCTTAACGAATCCTTCGAGGCGACCTTTAAAATCTGAACCTTTTCAGATTTTTTTATTTCTATGTTCTTCAGAACATTATCATAATTTATTACCTCTTTGTAGTATTTTGTTATACTTAAACTTATTATTGCGTTATTTATATTTTACATTTTTGATAATTTTACGTAAGACATTGGCAGTACTAACTTTACAAAATAAGTCCAGCTCGGGGATCGAACCTAGGACCTGTGGTGATGC